GGAATTATAATAAGTGAAAATGGAAGGAAAAGCTAACCACGCTGTTTTTTAAGTTTCGTTTCTAAAAGGTGTGAATTTTCAAGCTTTTTTCCTATCATAAGGCCGAAATAAAAGGGGAATATTGCTAAAATCTGAATATGTAGAGCAAAATTTTATTTTTATGTTTATAGAATCCTATAAAAGTATTTCAATATGTTTTCAGCGTGATCTGAGAATATAGAAAATGATTCGCAAAAATACTGACTCCAATATCAAAAATTAGAGCGAATAAACTGCAGGATAGGAAAGGATATATGGAGGGATGGTAAACAAAGAATGAACGAAAAGAACAAAGAAAAGAAAAATAATAAATGCTAGTATGTAGATAGATGTGTGTGTATATGATTAAAAAAAATCCGCATAAGGGATAAACAAGCAGATAAGGGAAAGACGGCAAATGGGTAGTGAAAGTCACAAACCCTGGAAGATAGTAGCAAGATTATGGAATAGTTGTAAAAGCAGAATTTTTCCAATCGAGGAAGACGACCTAAATCCTTTTTTCTTGTAGATTTACAGTCACTTGTGGAATGATAAAAACACAAAGATTTTAGAATAAGATACAAGGTGGTAAAAAGAAATAGAAAACTATAAGTGGACAAAAGGAATGAAAAAAATTATAGAAAAATGATCAAAATGGCTGTTGAGAATGGTATGTTCAGTCATTGAAACTCTAAAATTGCCACTGGCAATCTATTCGAACCAACGCAGGTTTATCCCAACAGGATTTATGCAGCAGTAGGCCTTCCAAATGAGGCGAGATGGACTTGGAGGAACCCATATGGAGTTGGGGGTAGCCAGCACTTGTCAGCAGGCTCCAGTTTACCGAACTGATAAGCTGATTCGATTCTGCTTCTTGAGTCTCACACACGTCGTTACAGACAGCGCCAGCACCAAAGCCATCAAGATTAGCAAGACTAGAGGCATCAGAAGGAGAAGGCGTAGAAGATGTAAGAGAACCACTGAAGTTTGGCAAGAACACACCACATGGAGCAGACGTAGCTGCTGGCATAATATCGGGAGGAAACAGATAGTCATATTGACGCGTAAGTGACTCATTCACCTGGAGACTAATGGGATAGAAAAACAGGCTCAGAATTTGTGATAAACACGGAAAAGGGATAATAAAGTGAGGGAAGTATTTAATAATGAATTTCATTTGAGGTTCAATATCAGAATAAATGCAAAATAAAAATTAATTGAGGAACTACAAGCCTAAGATATACCTACGAAGACAAAGAGAAGTAATATGAATATTATTTTTATCATTGAAGAAGTAATTCGATGCTCGCTCAAGTAAAGATATCAACGAACTGGCGGTCCAACATTTGAGAATATATTTTCGTATCATGAGTAGGTTCTAGAGACTACTAGTAGATCTGATATAAGAGCTGCATTCAACCTATTTCATTTGAGGTTTTCGGGGACTGGCAGTTAACTTCTCCCACAATGAAATGAAGAGGCCACTTCCATGGAATTTAATATATTCTAGCTTCTAAGGGGGTATCTCATTCAGGATGGATTGCAGTTTCATGGGAAAGTTAAACTATCAGTCCTTCATGACCTTACGCGAAATAGGATGAATACTGCTCTAATATCGGACCTACTGGTAGTCTCGAAAACCTACATGATACGGAAAACAAATAATGTAATCGATTGATATAACAAGTATGAATTTGCTACCTCGATAATTCCACCATAGAATTGTGATATGGAAAACACCTAGGCCTCTTCGGAATTCACTTCTGACCTGTGGCTCGAGGGTACTCGTGGCAGTGTGGCCGAGTGGTTAGTGTGTTGATATTGTATGCTGCCCTACCACGACCCGAAATCGAGTCCCACTAGAGGTACTTAAAAGACCAGTTGAGGCGAAGTCGGGACTGCAGTCCAGTTCAGCCTGAAGTAGAATACCTTTTAGGAAGCAAGGCTATGTGAAATCTAATGGAAGCATTGGGCCTACTCATATACTTGTGGGAAAATTCAACCACCAGTCCTTCCTCACCTCAAGCAAAATAGAGTAAATGCAACTCTCACGGTTGATAATATACTGATTTAATTAAATAGTAAATAATAGACACCGCGAAAACTAAAGAATTTTAAAATTTCCCCTTTAAAGCATTAGTTTCCGAAAGCAAAAAAACTAGCAAGGTCAATTATTATCATGGAATCGAAGCATTTACATGCCGAACTAGGCGTATCTTGAGTATAGCTCGTTCCACTAGTACTAATATTT